GAAAACAACAGAATGAATGTAGTTACGTCATCGTATAGTAAAATACATTAGTTCGCTAGTTTGAAACAGCCTATATGTATACTATACGAAGAACGAGAAAACATTCAATGGTATGTTTCGTCACTATTGAATAGTGCATATAAAATGTAATTACACAATTTGAAGATTATTCAAAATAAAGTTAGTCTATACAGAATTTACTTTTGCAGTTTTTCTGCAAAAGTAAATTCTGTCATCTTGGTAGTCTTTCTTTATACATTGTGTAAGTACAGTGATATTTCGCTGCTGTTAAAAATTTACAATTTATATACTTTAAAATATCATGTTAATATACAAGTAATATATCGACGATGAGACCATACATACTGTTGATAGAAGAAGCTTTAGACACTGTTTTCACAAACATTTTGAAAAGAAAAATAGTTATGGATGTAGTTATGTGAAATAAAACTTTAGAGAGTCTGCTATGAGACTATGGAAAACTCATATCGGTCCGTTGAATTGTTGAGTGCAACGGAAAAATGAACGATGAATGGTACTTTTTTATTATGTTCCTTACATATCTACATCGCTCCAGTTGTTGTATCTCACATCGGACACAAGGTAAGATAGGAGAGGGAGAACAGCACACATATTAAGAAGAAAGATAGACATGATTGATGCAGCCAGCGGTCACCACCCTTATAAACGGGCAAAAGATTAGAGGAAGTATCCAATGAGAGTGCGCTTTAATTATTGGCTCACAAGGCAACTGTAAAACAATCAAACTTTATTTCTCATCTACATTTACCAAATACAAAAGAATATTTTCTACTTTATTAAACACATTGTCACAAATTATAAGTAAAGTGAAAAACAAAACGAGATGAAGTTTGAATTATTACTCAATGAAATTTTACTTGATCTATTCGATTATTTTAATGGTGTTGATCTTCTTTGTATATTTTATGATCTCAATTATCATTTCAATTCTCTTCTCTACGAACAATATCGATCTTATCGTTTTAACTTTAATTCAATATCAAAACATAATTTTGATATAATATGTTCACAACATCTATCATTTATTACTGATCGAATTATTAGTCTTAGTCTTTTCGATGATGAAAATACTCCAGGACAAATAAATCTATTTCGATTCTATATACCATCATTTAGTCAATTTACTCAGTTACAATCACTTTAGTACATTTATTCATAGTTATACTTTATCAGAACTATTCAATTACTATGAATATAAACATCCTGATTCATTGCAATCAACATATCTGCATGATGATCAACAAGAATCTAATAATAATATAACTAATATCAATTTTGATAGTTTTTTTAATTCAACAATTCTTTCTAATATTAGTTTACTAAATATTCAAAAGCTTGAAATACAACTTCCTATCAATAATCAATTTTGGTCTATAATGTCAAATTTAAAACGACTCTATTCACTTAATGTAATATCTTATACTGATACTTATTATTCTCAATTACAAATTTTACTTGACCAAGCACCTAATCTAGATAAATTAATTATTGATCAAGATGTATCATTACCATTTCAGTTATCATTATTCAAATTAACAAATATAACAATTCGTAAACTCCATTTAGATTATTATTATTATTGTTTCAATGAAGAAAAATGTATTTTATTATGTCATTCATTATTGGGTACTCATTGTCAAGTACTTTATATTCGAGTATTATTTGTTAAACTTACATATGAAAAGACTTCTGAATATTTTTTTTTATATCAAACAGAAATCATAAATTTCTCAATACAAAAATAATAAATAAGAACGAAGCTGTTCAATGGTTAAAAGATCATTTGCCAACAATTTGTTCTATTGAAAAAGATCCAGATTCAGGCAGTTCAATTCAAATATGGATCAAATAATAAAATGATAACTAGACGTATTTATTAATCATGAATGATATTATTCAAGAAGATAGTTTTTTTTCTATTGTTAAACTTGATTATAATTTATAAAACTACATTTGATTGGAAATAGATATAATTTTCTATGCAATGAAGAGCTAAACATTCTTATTATGAAGAAAGATTGAGTTTGACTGAAATCTTGGAATATTTTTTAATGTTCAATACCTCTTTTTTTGTACTGACCATAATAAGTTTTAAATAACTTTTAAAATGTATAATTGAACAAGAATGAAATAATATTCATGAAAAAAATTATCTAGAAACTCAAGAACACTATTCGTACTCAATTTTAGTATCAAACGAATTTGTCTGAAAGATATTATTCAGTCATCAAATATACATAACAATATGTGATCATAATATTCAAATAATTCAAACATATATATTATTATCTTTTCACAAAAAAATCACAAACAAAATTTTTATATTATGTTCTAAGTTGTTTATAGGTTATAATATACATTACAGAAGTTTATTCAATCAACATCAATAATTCAACTAAAAATTAATGTAATAGAAATTTCAAACTTTAGAATTTCATTCATAAAATAAGTTCAATTTGAAATCCTATTTCTGAGATACAATAAACAAGTACATGAGTGTTTCTATAACTGGGATGAGGAAGGCAGTCATGGCAACGATAGTAACTTTATACCTACAGACATGTCATCATAAATAACTGACGTAAAGATAAATTTTGTGTTTTATCGAAAGATCTTTCGATTCAAATAAGTCAAGATGGAAGAAGAAAAACAATGCAGCAAACAGTATTTAATTACTTCAAACCTAGTAAAAAGTTGTAGATTGTGACACATTCTAAGTGTGCGGTTCGAATCCACTTCTCGTTATTTATAATATTTCTCACGTAGAAACAATTACTGGTTTCCAGTTTCACTATATTTTTCTCTCTAATTAGCACGAAGCGAGGCAATCAGATAGATCGTTGCCCATGAATATTCTGGTGAGTGACAATGTGCTTCTCATCAAATGAACAGAAAAAAAAATCAGACTAAATGTTGACTATATTTTGACCTCTATCCTATGAAAAGCATTTCTATTGTACACTTCAGTTGATACATGCTTGAAAGTATTTTCATCTCATCTTATCATCTGATGTCACTCGAATGCAGTGAAAAGAAATCAATATTCTTCCTAGAAGACAAGGACAATACCTTGTCAAGAAGTTGCAAATGAAGATGAGAAGAGTCAATATCAATTTGGATTTATTAAGTTTCGTCTTGTGTCATAGTGAATTTAGTGGAGAAATGAACGAATGTTTTACAATATTTAATATCTGATGAACAAAACAGTGATAGATTTTGATGTAGGAAACGAGATGAAAAAAAAAGATTTTGAACTAATTTCTGATACAACAGTCTATGTAAGTTGTTTGCAGTTCATAACTTCAGTACGGTTTTCTTCTTCATTTTTCGTGATGTTTAGATAGAGTTCATCGAGTTGCATAAGAAGAAGTATGTTTCAAATTAAAAATGGAGTTTTAAGAAAGACATCCAAGATACCATCTTTTTCAAACAATATTAAAAAATCAAGGGAGAGAAGCAAAAATTTCGTAGCTCAGCGTACTTCACTGTACTCTAAGACTATGTCAACACTATTCTTCATAACTTTTGAGTCATTTTAGATCTACTATCGATCTGTGCTACAGCATATTAGCCGGAGTCCAGTCTATCTAGCAACAAAGCCCAAATATTTGAGCATCAGTGAATTGCAGAGTGCGGCTGTTAGGTAACATAAGCTGAATTCGCACTCACATCCACACCCCACACGCACACCCGCAAGTAAGAATCTTTTTTTCTTGTTTTTACTGAATCTTTCTGTGCTCTTTATCTTGAGTATTTTAGTGTTTGCAGATAATGGCCTTCCAAAAAGAAAAACGAAATAAAAACATCACGCAATAGATAAGACCGAAATGTCGCCATAATAGAAAGATAAGAAACGAGTTATTTGATAAACAACGCATTCATCTGACTTACACAACATTCGACCAAGTTGGAAGAAACCGTCAGCGAAATTAACTCGGTATGGTTGGTTTTCATAGTTTGATTTTGATAGAGCACTTTATTAGGAGAATTTCTAAGACTAGAGACAGCATTTTAAATGTCATGAAGAAAACAACAGAGCAAACAAAAATATCATGAGATTTCGAAAGAAAAAAAATCACAGAAATAAGTTAATTCAAGATTTTATTTCCTCCAATGTTCAAAGTAGTTTCTCTACTTATTTACACAGAATTACATTTGTTCAGGTCATTAGTTCTTTTGAGAAACAGTCTATTCCTTCCATTTGACGAAAACGTAACATGTATAACTCATGTAGTTGTCGAAATTTCGTATTAGTAACAATTCGCTTCTTAGTCTATCATGCTGCATTTAATAATTTAAAGCACCTAATATTGAACAACATTGAAGCTATGCTTTGACTAACTTTTTGTAATAATCAAAGAATTTCTTAAAAATTGACAGTTTTTATTACTTTTATTTTAAGCAATCATTTGACAAAGCTGACAGGCATTTCAACGCATAAAAGGATACTATTTTCGACAGAACAATAAGCTCAACCAGTCATTCAATACAATTTTGATGCATCGAGCTTAGTCGCGCGTAGGCATCGAAATTCTACATCGAATCATTGCGTTCCCATTTCTGATAGGTCATCAGGTAACTTTCGATCATTAAAATGATCGTTATTCAAGAGATCGATATTTGATCAAAATAAGGAGTTTGGTCCAACAGATGCTCATTCATCACTCGTCGAGGCCTATCTAATGTAAGCAGAGAAGTAGGCTCAAACATAAATAGTCACGAGACCCTTTTATCGAACATCAAATCTAAATATGCATTATTATTTTTCTATTGAACTCATCTTTTCAGTTTACGAAAATGATAATAATACTTTGAATCTAGTGTTTCTTACTTTTGATATTTCACTAGTCGTTTTTAAAAATTAAGTATAAGATTTTTTCAGTTGAGAGTAAATTTTTGCACGCTTCTAACTACAGAAAAGTTTTTCTTGACTTTTGGATGGCATTTAAAGACCATGTTCGACAAATACGATATTTAATACATATAACTGATCGGTGTGCTATTAAATAAAAGCAATATTTTGGAATTTTTCGAAGGTTCTTAACGCGAAAATTCTTTAAAACTATGGTATGTTCAAGACTGCTGACGGATAAGCTGTTAGGATTTTATAAGGGTCGGTTAGAAACAGTTTCGAAAATGACCTTGAAGTTTCGCAGACCTTTAGACCATTGAGAACACATCCCATTCCGCGATGTTGAACATTCCAGAATCAGTTCCCGTCCCGGAATCTATTCCACCGATTTCGGAACTAAATTCAACTACGCCACAATCCGATTCCAGAATCATTTACAACAGGTTCTATCGATTCTGGAATCGCCCAGCCTTGCTATCACTCTCATCAACTGAGGCTATTAACTGGATGTGATTCCGGGACGGAATTCCGGGTATCGGACGGATCCGGAATCGCTCAGCCTTGGCATCACTCTCATCGACTGAGGCTTATAACTAGATGTGATTCCGGGTATCGGACGGATCCGGAATTGCAAGCATTCCAAAGGAATTCCGCGGAATTCCTAGTGATTCCGGAATCGCTCAGCCTTGCCATCACTCTCATCGGCTGAGGCTTATAACTGGATCTAATTTCGGGACGAAATTCCGAGTATCGGACGGATCCTGAATCGCAAAGATTTGAAAGGAATTTCGCGGAACTCCTAGTGATTCCCACCGATTCCGGTTCCGCTTAAATCCGAAATTCCTGACCGGAATCGGCTGGTCATTACATCGATAAAGATCGATAGAATGAAAACACAAGTTGTAATTCCGGAATTGGACGGAATTCCTAGCAATTCCCACCGATTTCGGTTTCACTCAAATCCGGAATTCCTAAGCGGAATCGGATGGTCATTATATTGATAAAGATTGATAGAATAAAAACACAAGTTGTAATTCCGGAATTAGACGGAATTGGACAAAATTCACGGGAATTCCTAGTAATTCCCACCGATTCTGGATCCGCTCAAACCCGAAATTCCTAAGCGGAATCGGATGGTCATTATATTGATAAAGATTGATAGAATAAAACCACAAGTTGTAATTCCGGAATTAGATGGAATTCCTAGCAATTCCCACCGATTCCGGTGTTGTTTAATTGGGTAATTCCGGAATTAGACGGGATTCCTAGGAATTGTTGCGGACTCAGTTTGTATGCGATTCCGGAATCGCTGGAAACGATTCCGGGGGCGGAACTGGTTCCGCAATGTTCAACTTTGCGGAATAGGATGACTGCTCAGACGATTAGTTGTATCAGCTGATTGGTAGGAAAAGGGTCGATTCACGCGGAAGTTCTGCGGACTGATGATATAAGCTTGAAATCAAAAAAAGTGTAGAACGATTAGTGTGTAAAGTTTAGATCACCAAGCTGTACTCAAGAATGCGTGCCGAAGGTTTCGAGAAACAAAATCATGTTTTACTATCAGAGTGAATAAGTACACACATCAGAAGTAGACATGAGAAGAAGAAGAGAGTGTTCAGATCATATAGCAATGAAAGTCAATGTTGAAAAACACGCTCTGACCACAGAGTTATAAACGAGAATAGGATAAAAAAGCTGTTAGCGCAATCTCTTGCGGGATTAAAAATGTGAAACACGATGGACCTATTGTTGCTAATTAAATGGACTTCGTTTTCTTCCATTGCTTTACGATAGATTTGTAGCTTACCGTTTATTTGATGCTTCAAAACTACCGTTTCTCTGTAACGGTCTGTGATGGTCTCTGGGGTGTGGGGGTGAGTGTAGAAGAACAAA